ACAATCACACAGATTTACGCCCACACACATACTCACCTACACAGGAGGGGCCACCTACCTTCACACGTTACGTATGATCACATACTCTCCCACACATCCACATCCACTCATGCACTACCGCTCGCACACAAATACACATGCACACATACACCACATACGACATACTCTCCCATACATACACATCCACTCATGCACTCCCGCTCGCACACAAACACACATGCACACATATACCACATACGACATACTCTCCCACACATACACATCCACTCGTGCACTCCCGCTCGCACACAAACACGCATGCACACACACACCACATACGATCATACTCTCCCACATATACAAATCCACTCGTGCACTACCGCTTGCACACAAACATGCATGCTCACACACACCACATACGATCATACTCTCCCACACATACACATCCACTCGTGCACTACCGCTCGCACACAAACACGCATGCACACGCACTCACACCACATACGATCATACTCTCCCACACATACACACCCACTCATGCACTACTGCTCGCACACAAACACACATGCACACATACACCATACGATCATACTCTCCCATACATACACATCCACTCATGCACTACTGCTTGCACACAAACACGCATGCTCACACATACCACATACGATCATACTCTCCCATACATACACATCCACTCGTGCACTACTGCTCGCACACAAACCGCATGCACACATACACCACATGCGATCATACTCTCCCACACATACAAATCCACGCGTGGGGGGGGCGCTCGCACACAAACCGCATGCACACATACACCATACGATCATACTCTCCCATACATACACATCCACTCCCGCTCACACACAAACACACATGCACACGCACTCACACCCAGCCATATCTACCATCACACTCACATCACATACGATTATACTCTCCCACACATACAAATCCACGCATGCACTACCGCTCGCACACAAACCGCATGCACACGCACTCACATACGCACGCACACTCCCCTGCAGACACACCCTCACCGTCGTCACACTCCTGCTCACAGGGACACCGGGCCCTCTCAGCTGCCTGTGCTGTCCCAGGCCAACCCCGGCCTCGAGAGATGGCAGGGTCCCTCGGGGCTGCCTCCGAGCCTGCTCCTAGGCCGCACCCCCACCCGGTGCCCCCCGCACCCCCCTGACCGTGTGAAGGGCTGCCCGATGCCGGCAGGCACGGCTGGCACAGCTCCCGTCGCCGAGCCCCGCACCACCGGCAGCCGCCCCACCTCTGGAGCCCAGCCACCCGCGTGGCACAGCCACCGCCCCAAACGCCCTCCCAGCGCGAGCACCTGTTCCCCTGGGGGTCTCACGTTACGGGCGCCTCGGACGGCAAGGACGCAGGCGCCGTCAGCACCTCGGATTAGAAATGCCCGCCTCCCGGTAACTCCCAGCCCCTGCTCGCTGGGCTCCGGGCGCAGACAAAGGGGCCCACGGGAGGAGGTGGCGGGAGCTGGGGTCTCGGGGGGCCTGCGGGGCCCCGCCCCAGGCCCGCTGTTACTATTTCGCTGTCTGAGCTCAGACTCACTCAGGCTGCCGGGGAGCGTGTCCTGCGGGCCCAGCAACACCACCAACGCGGGGAACCAGGGCCCCTCCCACTGCACAGACGGGGAGCCCGGGCCTCGGTTTCCCCGGGAGATGACAGCACAGGCCGGCCCACTGTCAGCCCCCTGACCAGAACGTGGGTCTGAGTGAGCTTCCACGTGTCGGCTGGAGAAGAGGCCGCCGGCGCAGGTGAGAAAGGAGGGGCCATGCGTCCGGGCCTCCAGCGCAGTCACGGTCTGGACCTCCTCTGGCCCGCTGTGGCTGGAGGACAGGGGCTGGCCCTCCGTCGCATTTCGGGGAGGGGCCCGGCAAGGCCCGGGATGG